AGAAGTATAAGAAGTCAGACAACTAGTATTTGCGATTAGTCAACTAGTATTTGCGATTAGCCATGAATGATCGTTAACATGTTAACATTTAAAATGCTAGTTCTAAAATATTTTCCAGAATATTAGATCCTATACAGACTTTTAATGATGAACATTTTCTTAGCAGCAGTTTATCGCACTTTGTATGGGGGAACGTTTCTACCTGCTCAATTTTTGCTTTAAAATGTAGCCACTAACAATAGACAATATTTTTAGTTGCAAGTAAAGTGACCGCAGGAAAAAGTTTGGTACATTTTCAGCTAGCCTTTGATTATATCTATTCAGTGTTTAATATAAGTTTATAAGTTAAATCATCTTTGTTTTAAAATTAAAGGAAAATAAAACTACGCTTCGAGGTTACCTACCTAATTCGAGGTAATTAGGAGCATAACTTGTTCAAAATCCTGCATCTATTAAGTTTCGGCACCAAATATTGCATTTATATACACATTTTAGTTTCGTTGTTATACATGCAATTGTTCTAAACGTAAGCATTTCATTCTTACAATTTTGTGTCGCCAGATTCAAAATTTAAATCAAACTTCGAGAGTAAGAAAATCGTGAATGACGTCACGAACAACACTGTCTTTCGAGATGCCGGAACACTATATATTTACTTTATGTAGCTTATATGAGAAAATGCCTTGAGAGATATGCTAAGTAAAGACTTTAAAATCGTACATAAATTGATTAGTTCATAAAGTCTCTTTCTCTTAGGGAGTATACACTACAGACTTTAAAAAGACTATTGAAGAATTATATTCTAGCCTTGTCAAACAAAACAGAGTCAGAAGAAGAGTGTACAAGACCTTTTTACTCGAACACAAAATTAACAATTACCCAACTTGGGTTTACACAAGCCAAGCTCTTCTGGCTTAATAGAAATACGTTACGTTGAACAATTTCAAATGTGGTAGATTAGTCTAACGGCTCACAGAATAATTTAACGAGAATTAAAGGCTATGGCTTTTAGAAAACCGGTGAGACAAAGTGAAATGGCTAGAAGTACTCAACGTCACAGAATCAAATAACTAATAATCGCGTCACAGCGTGGTCTGGAATAGGTAGACACACTCTAAAACTAACTTTCGAAACTCTTGCTTAAAAGCACTTCTTTCTACTGTAGAGACATTAGGATTTTTGGAAGCAGGCAAGATGAAAAATGAGCATTCACCTTCGCCGGGAATCGAACCATGGACTTCTGGAATATGGACCCAGCGTGCAGAACCCCTACACACGAAGGCACGCTAGGAAGGCGGGAGAAATACCTTATATATTCCCCCTTTTAAAGGGCGACTGGGGTTTTTAAGGGACCCAATTGCCAAATCCTGGGTGAGGGGAATCATCATCCAACACTCTTTTAGTTCGGGCGCCACTGTAGAGATATTAGGTATTTTTGGAAAAGCCGGAGAGATGAAAAATTAACAACGCCTTCGCCGGGAATCGAACCACGGACCTCTGAAATACTGGCCCAGTGTGCAAAACCACTACACCACGAAGGCACGCTAGGAAACTGGGAGAAATACCTTATACTACCTTAATCCGAAAAAACGCTCGCTATCTCATTTACATTCTGGCATGAAAAGCGTGGGTGAAAAGAAAGTGATAGGAAAGTACTAAAAATTAACTGTTATTTAAAAATAGATAAACCTCACAAGTTACACAAAAGATGAAAATGTAATTCTGTGAAATGCTAAGGGGAATAACAATAAGGGAAAAAAAGTAGATTAAAATAGGACAAAAATTTCTTGTAATTCAAGTCTCCAAATAACGATAGCATTAAAAAAAACTAGATATTAAAATAGAGCCTGGAGAAATCACTAATGTGATTAAAGAAACTGTGGACAGTGAAATCAGTCATCTGTTTTTCGTTTTGAAGCAGAGCACATGTATAATTTTATCAGCTTTGTTTATGAATTTTCATTTATATTCCATTAAATTCATTTCCTAAAGAAGTGAATTAAGCGAAATAGTTAAGCCTCCGCAGCTTAGCTCTAGAAGGGTGATCTCAAAACATTTTCTTCCGGAGAACCCGTAAAGTTTTTTTACAGAATGTTTACCATTCTCAGAAAACAAAAAATTGAAAATATATTATACTGTTTATTTGAAAAATGAAAAGAAAACCACTATTTCATGAAGACTTTTTATTGAAATACGTATTTGATCACAAGTTTCGTAAGCGTAATTATTAACGTATTGCATTAATTTATTATGTACGTTTAATGCCTGAGATCTATTACTTTTTTTTAACTCAAAATGTCAAACTCTGTCTTTACTGACGTTACCTGTAACAGTGCATTTCGGATTCCATACACAATCTGTTTTTGTATTTGGTTCATTTTATCCTTAGGTTGAAAATTATTTTAAGTAAGCAGCACTGAAAGGCATTATAGCTTTGTTAGAAATTCCAGATATCCTGCCTGAATTTGTTACTGAAAATGGGCAAGGGGTTTTCTAATTAGTGTTTAATTTTTTATGTTCAGTCTGATTAAATGTCATTTAATTGTTTCTCTTTCCTTCACTGTATGCCATCTGATTTATTATAATTCTGAAATGGATATTTAATCTGTCATACGTCTGAATTTCTATCGAAAAATATTTTTTTCAATTGACAAACGCGTTGTAATGTACACTTTTTAAGAGCGTTACTCAAATATAGTTCATTCTCCATTACAAAAGCATTCATTTTACAAAAAACTGTATATTGTTACGAATGTACAGGCACAGTAAGATGGCTTCACCGCAGAGCAGTTTTAGGGTTACCATAAAATGGCAAGGGAAGGCAAGGTTGCCGCATTTGGCGAGAAATCGCCCATTTGGCAACAAAATTGGCGATGCCATGGACGGATGGAGAACCTTCTGGAACGAATTCTTACCGGTTTAGCCCAGAATGTTTTCGAACACCAGTCAAAAGTATATAAACCCTGCTGGTACGCGGAGAATGAGTTAGTATCGAGAGAGTGTCTCGTCGAGAGTGCGAGACAGTTAGTCCAAGCGAGTCAATCCCTGCGAAGTGGATCGAGTTGACAGCCGGGCAGCGAGTGCCGAGTGGGTCATCGAGTGCATCGAAGAGTCTCTTAGTGTATCGCGGTTAGTGCATCGTCTAGAGAGTGTGTTAAGCTCTGGCAACGACTGAACCGAAGAGTCGGGAGCTGTGCTCTGTGTGTCGTCGAGTGCATCGCGAGTTGTAGCGTGCAGAGTCTCGAGAGTACGTGGAGTTCCGAGAACGACCGAGCAAAGTCAGGAGCTGTACTCTGATGCTTTGCAGTGAAGCTGTCTCCACCGTTATTGCCTGACAGTGTGAAGACTGTGTCGCTAATTGTTCCAGAGAGTGTATAGTAGATCTTCGACGACGGTAAAACGTGACTTTGGAGCTGTCCCGATTAATACCGGCCAATAAAGTGTGTTTCGATACGTCAGCAAGTACTGGCCTCATTATTCACTACAAATCCACACGAACCCCGTACGAACGTGAAGAAAGAAAATAACCTAACAACTGGTGTCAGGAAAAAAAAAACGCAACAATATAAATATACTTGACATATGGTGATCCAATATCTAGTCTTAAGAGTAATGCATTAAATTTCTCATTAATTTTAATAATATGCATCTTAAGTTCAGCATGTATTAACTTCATTTTAAACGAAAACTGTCCTCTAAATAGGCCACCAATTGCAATTACAATTCACCACGTAATTTTTGAGCCTAATCATGTTTATCTTCTTTTTAAAAACGTTCTAAGCTAATGTTTTAACTCAAAAGAAAAAATAAATAAATAAAAGGCTCGAAAACTGTTGCTCGAGACAACCATCGCACTTCTTGAAAGAAAGTAAAAAATATTGAATTTAATATAAAACTCATAATCTTTATAACACCGTCTAGAACTTCCTTTAATGCATTTGGTGTTCGTTTTGTTGGTGTTGTCTAAGTTGCCATAAGCCACATTTTCATTATTGCAAAGAATGCAATAAAGAAAATGTGTAATGTGAGGGCAGTTGCAATTTTTCCTGGTACAACGCTGATTTTTCCTTATTCTGTTCGTGGACACAGACATGCACGCACTCTCACGCAAATAGGCAGGCGAATGATTCTTTTCTGTTGCGCCCCAACTTGCTTTATCTTTGACTGAGCAGGGTTTTACTCATAAAAACAGATATCCTTCATTATTTTAAGCAACAATAATAACTGAAATAAAAAATATTATTTAATTATTTATTTCAGATGCTTAACTTTGCGCTCCACATAGCACTAAGAAATTCTTTCAAATTTTGCTTTTGTCTTGGAGACTCCCTGCTGGAATTGTATCGAACTGCAGGGTTCCGTAGAAGGATTAGAACTAAATTTTTCTTCTAATTTATATCTAATATTATTTTTATTTTTACTAGCGGTTGTTCAAACTGATTGATTTACCCTTTGTGAGAGATATGCATTGCATTAAATAAATTTTCTTACTTATGTATAAATCTTTCAATATAGGTAAAATATATACATAAAAATATCTTTATATTTGTATATATGCAAGAAATGTGCTTTATTTTTATATGTGCCATTTATTCAGTAAGGCAAAGGTTTTCTATTATATTTTTGTAGCAAGTTAAAGTTATTTACTGTTTTTTAACTATGAGATATTTTTAAAGTTTTTTTAGCATAGGATGTATTAAAATAAGACTTTATTAAAATTGTATTAAAATAAAAACTATGTAGAGTTCGAAACGTAAGTTCAGTGTTTGACTAAAGTTTCGCATATAATAGGGTGATTCAAAAATTCATTTGTTCTGCATTTTAAAGAAATTTTAACATTTTATTACACATAGGGTCATTATGTTTTAAACATTATATTTTACGTAATAATTACTTTAATGAAAATATTAATAAAGTCATGCTGTATAATTTATTTTAATGGCTACATTTTATTATAATACCTCTAAATCTATAAAAATATATTTCCTTTATTTCTACAGGTAAAGATCTGGTTCCAGAATAGACGAACAAAATGGAAGAAACAGGAAGGCATTTCGAACGCGGAAGCTGCTGAACATAAACACGCCTGAGAAGTCTTCAAATAACGCTGGAAAAGCAAAGAGTAGCAAATCTTCGAAAAATTCCAACAAAAGTAACTTTACCGGTGTCACTCCTTCAAACCCTGATTCTGCTGCGACAGTTGTCAGTAACAGTGTTTCAGAAGTACTGCCGTTGACCAATGGTAAAATTTCTCGAGGGGAACTCAGTAATGGATTGTCAATAGACCCTATGGACCTAGAATCAAATCCTATCTCAAGTGAAAATTGTAACAAATCAGCCATCCCTCGAATACCCAAAGAAATGTTGGCATTCAAGGTAGACGCCCAAGATACAGAAAGAGCTGCTTCTGCTCCTCTGGAGTCTTCGAACAGTCCTATACAAGCTAGAAGCGGAGAGCTAGTCCACTATCCTTATTCCTACGAAGCAAAATCTGAACCTAGTTCCCCAATTCAACAAACTAACTCATCTGTGAATTGTCGTGAGCCTTTCCCTGTTAAGAACTGTACCGAAGAAGATTCACCGAAACATTACTGATAGGTAAAGGAAGGATAAAGGAGTCGAGTCAAACTGTTATTGTTTAACACTACAATTAAAAAGGGAGAAGTTTTGAGAAAAGCTGAACTTGGATCGTTCTTTATGCTAAATGGACTGTGCTTTCCTCTTAACATCATTGCTTGATGTGAGACCAACAATCACTTTCCGGGTGTAAAAAGATTGTATATTGGAGCAATTCATTTGTGTGATGAACAGGTCTAAGCTAGACTTAGGAAAACCTTTCTTTGTTCCATCAGTCATTTTCTGTTATTTGGGTAAATAGTTTCTTTTAAAAGATATTATTTATGCAATACTTCTTTCATACGAGATAATCTGAGTTGTATTGAAGTTAAATATGCTTTTAACGCAGAAGAAGGATCATCTTCAAAAACTTCTAATATATTTATGCTTTCAGGCTATTTTATTTTGATATGTAAATTATTAATGTATTGTATTTCTTGCTAGTGAAAGTCTTATAAAGTGAATTCGTAACTGTATTTAAGGAATTCAAAATTCAAAGAACAAAACTGTCATAATCAGATCAAAATGTATTTTGTACTTTAGAGAGGAAAATTCATCTATGTTGTTCAATTTGAATACTGAAATATATAAGAGATTTTACTGAGTGTACTCACTGTTTTGAAATCAAAATTTGATAATTTCATCATTTATATCACTCGTCGTTTTAAACCCATCATCAAACAGTGCTGTATAATGAGCTTTTCGATTTTAATTTCGTATTTCGCCAAAATGACTGAGCAAGATTTCATGACAATGTATAATTTTCTCCTCATATCGCCCCAATTAAATGAGAAAAAAAAGAAGTTATATAGATATAGCATATATTTCTATCTTTTTAAAAGAAGACATGAACTTTATGTGTATAATGTGTTAGAGTTTTAGCTGTTCCAGCCAGGATCTTTTGCCTTAAAAATACTGTCACTGATTGTTCTGATACCAGTGCTGTTGTTTAGGGTGTTTACCCATTATATGGCTCCTTTGTTTCTGTGTTGCATGTTTGTGCCGTCGCAAAGAATAAAAACTATTGTAGACATATTTGTTAATGTCTTCTTTAAAAAATAAGCAGTGCAGAAAATTTTTTTCACAATTTATTTTGTCAGAATTTTAAAAACAAATACACAGCATTTTCTATTCCTTTTAATAATTAATTTTAACTTCTAACTATTAATTTTAATGATAAATAATGATTCCAAGGAGACAATTTAAGTATTATATATGATGGAAGTACCTGAGGAAAATAACTTTGTAGTAAATAAATGATTTTAATTGTAAATAATTGAAGAATGTCTAAGTAATAATTCGCAACACCTTATGTTTTGAGTGTAGTTTCATTGTATCTCAACCCAACTTTATCAAAATAGAAGTTGTAGTGTTTGCTTAAAAGAGAGCTGTATTTGAGCCTATTTTATTTTGCGCAACTGGCTTATGTTCTTTCCATCTAACGACATTTCCTGAGAATGGAGGGCGGAACATGTGAAATACCGTTACGGAAGATATTTTCACAACATTTTGCACCAAAGAGGGAAAAAAGTGTTCAGGGAAATTAAATAATATCATCGCCTTTAAATTTACTTTTCCAATATTATCCAGAATCCAATATGTTAATGTAATCTTCAGCTTCTGAAACTGTTTGAAAAAAATGCCAAATTTGTAGCAAATAAATCAATTTTTTTTTGTGGTCTACAGTTTAAAAAAGCTCGTAAATTAGAATCTTGGGAACTATGTGGATTAAAAATATTAATGTAGCACTCGAATTAAAAGGTAGACTTTAGTAAAAGAATACAAAGTGACGTCAGAAGGGGATGAATGACATTTCTCAGCAAATATGAATTCGTGAGAAGAGCTAGAGGTTAAAGTAATAATGCATCCCCACAAAATATCCCATGCATTACTCAAACGTTTCAAGTTAAGAGAAAGTGTAGACAGTGATCCACCTGCTCTCCTGTCTTAACTTCGCATATATTCATGGAATTGAGCGTACTTGTGCTATCTTATGTCATCCGTCATGTCGAGGGACAAACGCTTAATTATGCATCTCAGCAATGGACCGTGGAACATTAAACTGCCCGTCTGATCGGATATCGTCAAACTCTGTTAAGACATTTGCACTTGTCTCTTCTCGGTCCACAATAGACAAAAATTGAACTATTATCGTTATTTTTCACGTATTGATTCCAGTTTTAAATAACACATATATTATTTATATTTATTTAAAGTAAATCCCCTTAATCTGTGATTAAATAAATGTGGTTTTATGCATTACACGCATATAACATTATAATAATATAAATAATCGCATGTAAATAACTTATATAATTATCGCTTCGTCTGAAAAGAACTAGAATAGTCTTAAAAAGGTTTGAAAACAACATTTTTATTAAGTCAGAACTGGAACATAAATGCAAAACTCGTGCTTACAAATCAGCCAATCACTTGCAACGATGTAACTTAAAGTAACAGTAAGTTCAAATTTAAGATTAAGCTAGTAGTCAAAGACTACATAATTCAGTTTAACGCGAAATTGACTGACAGATCTGGCAGGCGTAAATGTCGGTACTATAAATGCAAAGCCGAAGAATGAAATTCTATCGGAGTTAGCAAAAAAACCAGGTAACGTGGCTTCACTCTGTCTTTGAAACCAAAAATCTCGGCTTAATTACCGTAAGCTAATTTGCATTTTGGTAGGGAAATGGAAGGAAGAATTGACAGTAAAGATCCAAATCATAACTGGTTAGATTAACATAATGGAACGTTATAAACTAAAACCATACTTTAAAAAAAATAAGACTTAGAATATGAATAAAAGTTTTGAAAAAAATGGTTTATTAGATGTGTGCATTATATTATTTTTGTATTTTCATTATTTTTAATTTTTCAAATATAGATAAGTTTTTAGAAACAAAATCACATATTCTAACTGCACATAAGTTCACTTTAAGTAATGTGATGATTCCATTTGTGTATAAAAGCAATAGTTTTATTAGTTGGCATAAAATTGCTTAACTAATCTCTTAACACTCCTCGTTCGAGAATATTCAACCTGTTTATTTTTTTATACTAGAAGGTAAGGAGGTAAGTTTTTATACTAGAAGGTGAATTCCACTAGGAAGGTAAGGAAATGGAAAAGTCAGTAATATTGATCGATAATAGTTTTTTTGTACTAGTTGCTTAAAAAATTTATATATTAAAAAATATCATTGATTTTAAAATACATTAAATAATTGTGTACTTTTGCCTTATATTTATTTTATACAAAATCTTCCTTGCTATATGTTACAGCTTTATATCGACTCCCAGTCGATCCCTTGGCCATCGTTGACCTCCTTTTAAAATTTCATAGACCCCCTAAGGGGTCGATACCAACCTCTTGGAAACCTCTGATTTAGAGGCTTTACAGACAAAACACACAAACCTAGACTTAGAGAGTCTGAACAAAATTTCATCATAAATATCAGTGTAGAGAGCGTAAGCTTCTGTACTAGCCAAAGAAGCTTTTGATATATGCCTTGTATGGTTTTTATTTTATTTTGTTAATAGTTATTTTTATTTTGGAACAAGCCTTTCCTTTAACTTTTTAACTTCTCGCCTACGATTTCCTACCAGAATAACTTTTCAGTATTAAGTTTTATGCAAATAAGGTAGAAATTAGTATTTAAGGTAAGGTCTGAGTTACTTCAGTAGGCGATCGTATTCTCCCTTTCAGCCACGCTGTTGCCATTATTAAAGCTTACTATTCTACGGCCGTACTTAATACGTACTTGCTATTATACGCCGGTGATCCTTCATTAAGGGCCAACATGCGAGTTGGATTCTGTGCAGCTTCGGCTGAGTAAATTTAACCAGCATTAGTTTAGTTTTATATTTTCTATTTTGAGTTAAAGCCCAAGTAGAGACTTCTTGTACACCCAAGAGGGGCCATCTGTAATGTTATTTTGAGTTGGCATAAATGGTATTTTACCCCTTCTCCGTAGCTGTTACTTACGCACAAGAGCTCAGCGAATAGTCGCTGCATAGTTCTACCAGTATTCTAGCTGCTATAGAACTCTATTTTAGCTAGGATATTAAAGTGTAACAACAAACGTTCCCGAAAAGCTGCATTTTAAATGAGTGATGATAACAATTCCCTCAGAAAGCGTCCACAGTTTGGCTTTGATTTAGAATAAAACCGAATCAAACGTTAGAACCATATGCATGCCGTTATTAAATTTTCAAAAGCTGAAATTTTGATAATATAAAACACAGAAATTCATTTTAAAAATTACAATTTTTAACATTTTACATTTTCAGTTTAAAAAAAATAAAACTTGTGCAGAGAACTTCTATCCTACTTGGTTTTAATTTTTAACGTACAAAATATATTAGTACTACAATGAAAAGATATTGATTTTAGTTAAATAAAGCTTTTTTGCCAAGAAAAAGAAGAATATTCCTTCGGTCAAAAAATACCATTATTTGTATAAGCAGGTGATATAAAAATATCCTGAAAGTTTTAAACTAGTATTGCCATTGGTGAAGATTTGATATGAAATATATGAGTAAGGTAATGGTGCAGATTAAGTAAAATTCAAACTATTAATGCAGAATCGAATCATAAGGAAGACCACATCTTACAATTCATCTTAGCTTATCTGTCGGAATTTTCATTTATCAGAAAGTTTTCAGTTATAATAATTATCGAATAATTTTCAGTTGTCATTATAAGACTGTATCACAACCTTCTTTTGGTCAGGCAAATCTGCATGGCTTAGAGAAGTTCTCCCCTCTTTATTCCTCGTCACTATGGGCACAAGTTTAGTCCAATGAACTTTGGAGCAAATATTGAGTAATTTTTATTGTTGCCCTTTATAATAAACAGATTTGAAAGGAAGGAGTCCTGTTTAAGTCGACATGGAGGTCGTTTACAACCAAATAACTGCGGGCATTTAAAAAAAAAAAAACTCCTCGGAATAGATTGTTCAAGGTAAGTTTTATGTATGAACTTAAAACTTGGAACTCCTTCAAATCTGTAACCAGCTATGAATTGTTGCTTAAATCCCTAATACATTTCCTGAGGAATATGGAGAAGAGTATGAAATTATGTGCAAAGCGCTGGATTGCTCTGGTGCGAAAGTATGTTGTCGAACTAGAGAAGCTAGGGAGGAAAAAAAATAAGTGTCCCTAAAAATTATACACAGTTGCTACTCAACTATATTCGTTGGTAGAATCAGTCCAACTCCATACATATATACAGACATAAAAAAACGATAAACTATACAAAAAACATGATAAGTATGAGCATAATTTAATTTACCAACCATACTTACGTATTTTCCCGTTTCTCATGAAAGTTGGCTCCCCGGTGGCCGTGAAAAATAGCGGAGGTGCACCAAATTTACGCTAATCATTCCGACAGCATTTTGAAGGAACATATTTAGTTGTGTTGTCACAGGCAACTCAATATGTTGTTATGTAATCAAAAGATTAAATCTCTAATCTCTAAAAAACCCTAATGGCATTTAAAAAAAGCTACAAAATAGTGATCTTCTTTGTGAACTCGGCTCCACACAAATTCGGAGCCCACCAGCAGCCGAGCTTTCCGATTTGGATTCGAATACAGGCGAACGGGATGCATATTTCACAAGTGCACATTTGTGTAGCCACCGAGGGAGTGGCTTCTAGGATGGACCAATTGAGGATCCAGTAATATTTCTGTCATGTCACATGTTCGCGTGCTTTAATATGGTTGAAAACATTTTGCCAAGCCTTTCTGTACAAAATAAGTAAAGCATCGTCGATTTCTTCTGAAAATTTTCATTTCGAAGTTAGATCTAATATAAGCAGTTTGTGAAGATTTCACTACCTGGTTGAAAGAATTTGAAATAAATGTTGAACACCCCGCCAAAATATCCATGTGAAGTATTACTTAATAAGTGGTAAATAACACGAAGAAATAAATATGTGATAAACATCTGAGCCCAAATGCTATCTCTACATAAAACTATGCATAGGAGAAAAATATTTGCACCAGTTATATATTTTCTAAATAGAAGTC